TTTTTTACTTCGTTAACAAAAGCTTCTAAATTAGAGTTTTGCTCCTTTGTCCTCCGTTTGATTGTATCACATTACATGAATTGCCTGTTATGTTGGAATAGCTTTACCTTTGACTTCTGCAACTTAAAGTTAACTTTCCCAGTCTTTCAGTATCACCAAGAAAACCAGTCATTCCAAACGGTTTGTATTATACGACAAAGTTACTTACAATAAATGCAGCCAAGGCAAGATAGACATATATGAAACTTATCCCCAGAGCACCATATTGTTATCTCTCCTGCACATATAGGGAAGGGAGGAAGTACACATTTACTATGGAGATTATCAGGTTTAAGCCATCTGCTGCTGGTTGACGCATATGCACTCACACACACAGCATTACACTTCAGAGATACGTATATGTATCACTAATCATTCAAGATTTCTCCCACAATACCCCACAAAGCACTGATTTTGCCCACTTAAATAGAAAGTTAAGCTAACTGCAGTGCCAGAGAGAATAACAAAGCCTTTTGTCTCAGACCTCTTTTGACTTTGTATTATTGCATTATTGCATGCTTTTTTTAAACTTCTGTAGCAAAATCTAAACCATCAGAGATACTATAACTTTACCTCAGTGTTCAAAGTCTTCAAAACTTATATATTACAACCTGATCAACTGCTTGGCCAACTCAGCAGCTCATTTATTTTGAAAGTCCTGGCAATAAATTGATTCTTCTGCTACCTCTTCCATTTGAAATTCAAGAGAACATACTGTATCAAACTATAGTGATGTGAACATTCTGGACAAGAGGCATTCAGCGTGTAGACCTTTTGGAAGCTGGAAATGTGGCTTTGCAGATACTTTTCTTGCTATGATATATGGTTTCTGAGAAGTTTTCTACATCTTTGCTATAGCAAGACCATTTACACTCATGGATTCTTTCAATGCACTGAACCAGTGGGGACATGTTTTAGTAGTGGGATGGCAGGGTTAGGTTAACAGTTGGACTTGATCTTAAAGGTCTTTTCCAATCTAAATGATTCTATGATTCCAACCATTCACTACTGCCATGCTAGGACTGTCAATGGATTTCTTTTAATAAATTTCTTCCCAGTACTGTGAACAAACATTGCCCTGGTCATGCAGATTTGGAAGCTCTTCGAGAGTAAAAAGCTCCTGGGCATGTGGAAGGGTTTACAATCAGCAATGTAGCCTCTCTCATTTACTTACAGTGGGTAGAAAGTGGTAAAAGTAACACTAAGAATCAGAAGAGAATAAGAAACTCTGTGAAATCTTTCTGCTTCTCTTTAATGTACGTCACCAGTTCCTGCTTTCATAAGCTACGTTATACTAGAAGCCATATTGTGGATACTAATGCACAACCTGACTGGCCAGGTAGACAGATGGGGAACTGGGGAAAAGAGAGAATCTTTTATTTGTGGCCCTGTTCACAGAGTAATCCCCGCAGTTTCTGTGTTTCCCTTCCCAGAAGTGACAGCAGTCACCTATTCCATTAACATATACAGTGGGTCGTAAATCATGAAATGGGAACTTGGAAAGATTCTGAAGTGAGATTAAGTTCACCCTACCCTTCCTCTCTAAAGTGCAAAGTGCCCGTGGGACAGAGGAGTCTCATACAAGAAGCATTCATGTTATTTTCTGAACTTTCTCTTTGTGCGCTATTGAGAAACTCAGGGCAAAATATTTTGGCTTTTCAGCTTCTGATCTGAACTGGAAGCAGCACATAAGGTGCACAGTAGCATTTGCTTTCATATGAGATGGTTGAATTATTCAAATGTGTTTGCTCAAATCTAGAACAACACCCATGTTTTAGTTCCCATGCCGTAGATTCATCAAGGGAATTTGTATATGCAGTGCTTTCCCAGCCTCCCATTGCCTCCAACAGAGACTCACGTGGATACCAAGATACACTTGTACAGAATTCTTCCACAACTAGATCTTAATTACACCTCAGTGCAAACAAGTACAGCTTCCCATTATTTACAATACAACTGCTCATTTCTGTACAGAAGTACAGTGTAATGCAAACACAAGAAATATAAGGGCTCCAACCGTATTCTTTGCTAATTTACTGTGAATATTCCAGTCTCAACTAGCAGCCTGATCAAAACCCATTTGTTTTGTTTTGGTATAAATATGCTCTCATTATTTACTTTCCCATCTTGGTGAAGCCGAAAGATCGTTTCACTTCAATTTCGCCTTGTGGTTGCTCCTTCTTCAAACAGCAACACTGGATCAATGAAAGGAATAGTAGATGTCTGTGCATATGATCCTTAGTTATGCAAATGAAATACATGTAACTGTTGGCTCTACAAGGAATTGTGCAACTCTTCAAAATACATGCAGATCTGACTTATAAAGGAAAAAATCCATCTTTTCACTCTTCACCTGTAACTTTTTCCTGTCTTTTCCCAAGTAATAGGGTCTAAAAAAGCCTTTTAAAAACTCCTATCTTTTAACAGAATCAGATCTTGATGAGTTTGCTACAAAGTAATGAAGTAAAGATTATAAAGCTATCCCTTTAAGAAGAAAAGTGTATATACAATTTTATGACAGTGAAATAATCAGAGAAGCTGATAACTGCTAAGGGAATTGAGCTCTAACCCATGGACAGGATATACAGAATAAGGAACTAGACAGAAAAGGCAAGGAAAATGGCGTATGAAAGTTTTAGGACAATACTGAACTGAAAATTATTTGGCAACCTTTATAAAGGCCTGATTTAATTTTTACTGAAGTTAATGGATTTGAGGGAGGTTAGCAGCTTGAACAAGATGCTACTGCCATTCTGAATTTGTGATAAATTATTGCTTGACTATGTCCTTTTCCAGACAGAGAGACTTCAGAATTATCATTATGCAACTTCTTTGTTTCCAGAAGAGATACATCATTTCCAAGTTGCTTTTCTTCCCTTTCAAGTCTAGTTATAAGTACTAGTTAAAGAAGATTCACTCTAATAGCGAGTGCAGCATTTGGGAAGTGGACTGAAGATGCTGCAATATTCTGTACCTATGAATGCAGGTAGGCTGTTCAGCTGTCTGAGGGTTTTCTGAAAGGCAGACCTCTACGATGGAGAGGATAGACAGAAATCTAAGGTATTACCCAGTGAGAGGCTAAGAGCCTCTATGTTACCTGGAGAGCATCGTTTCAAACATCCCTCTAACACCAGCAAGACAAAACCAGCACACTTATGGGGACATACAGTTGTCAAAATTAGACAAGACCGTGTTCCAGCCTGATCACACTGTGTTCTGTGTCTTTTCCATTGCGCACCCCTCTCTTGTCACTTTTTCTTATCTTTTACTTAACCATAAGACCAACTTCATCATATTGCAGGAACATGAGAGGACATTGTAGTTCATCTGTTCCAGGCCAGTTTGAGACCAGGACTAGTGAAGGCATAGGGTGTGACCAGAATAGCCAGATGACATCCCAGCTTGGTCTCAAACTACTGCTGTCACAGCCTATGCCAAAGCATCTCTCCATGCATGGTCATCTCTTCATCCTACATCCTGATAAGTTCAACACAAAGTTTCACTTTTATTTTTTTGCTTATTTTTGGTACCTGTTTATGTCAAAATCAGAAAATCTATCAACCATTGGGAACTCAGCCTTCAACAACAGAAGCCTGGCAGCTTCAATTTTCCACCAAGAATTTCTATCCAATAAAAACAGACTAACTAATACCCCTTTCTGAAAAAGGGTTATGATTTTTTTAACATGGTTTTATATAAGCACAGAGTTTCATGATACTTAATAATTTGGGCTTTTAAAATTATTTTTCTCATATGCTAATCAACAGCTTTCAGAATAATGTAATTTTCCTAGTGAGTCTGCCCAGAAATGAAGCACTCTCTTCACTCAGAACCCTGTTTATATATCATTATAGTCACTGCCTTATGAATGTTTTTGATTTGCCTCTGGTTATTCTGCTAATGTAACATCTCCAAGTCTCAAGGAAGAAAAACTTGAGTTCCTGCTACCAAAAAGTTCCTACCTTTATTTCTAGAATTTCAAGATCCCATATGATTTTAAAGGAAATTTTTAAGACAGTTTTAAGACATTGAGTACCATTCTGATTCACCACTGGAAATAAAAATATTTTCCATGACCCATGACAAACAAAATACGTACATTGATATCTCAACCTAGAGTATGGTATATTACAAAATACCCCACCCACAAATAAACCAGCCACAAATAATGAAAAAAGAATTACTAGCAAACACAAAGCTTTCAGAAAGAAAAGTCCATTTTGTCAGCTTGGCATCTTTTCAGGTCCACAACTAATTGTAAGTAAAATCTACAATTAAAATTTCCAGTTACATGGGGCTTTATGTAATACCTTTTACTGACCCTATTTCTCCTGGAACTTTGCACATTTATTTCTAAGACAAACATGTACAACAATTTACCTGGATTCCCCAAAGCTCTCCAATATTTTGATACAGGCAGAAAAACTGGCTCCCTCAATCAGACAATCCACGGGTATATCACCGTAATGGCCTGATCTGTTTGCTCAGAGGAGTTCTGCTTCTCAGCAAGGGTTTGCATAAGAACGCTGCATGTGGGTTTCATTATCACAATCAGTAGAGAAAACTGCTCTCCTCAGGATATTAGGCAAGAAGTGGTGGGGGAAAAGGGAACTAAAATGTGTTCAGACTGTTTGGCTGCAGCCATCAGCAATATTCACCACACATCTAAAAGTGTTGCATTTACCCCATGTTGTAGAGTCCCATGAAGCTATATGGGTGCATACAAGCTTGAGTCTTTACAGAATAATGGCTAATGAAATGTGTGTGGTAATTACAAGCGTAAAGACAAGAGCAGACCAACCTCTTGGGTCATCAAGTCTAGTCCCCTGCCAGCAGTTGAGAATCACTGCATACATTCCCACACATCAGGTGGCAGCAAATGTGTTTGCTTGATCCTGCCTTTGCCAGTAGGACCTCAGGAGACTGTTGACCACTTTTTTTAAAGCTTTTGCTGTGTGGTGATAGTTTTTTTTTTAAAAACTACAATCATACGTTTCTTCTGCCCTTCTGCCTGTGAGTTCATGGAACAAATCAGAGTCTGAAGGATGATACAGGGTAGGAAAAACTGTTATCGAGAAAATAAGCTTCACGAGACATTCTAAACCTGTGTTTGTGCTGAAGGTAAACCCAAACCACAAAGGTGGAACCCTCTACTAAATACAGCTCAGTGAGTTGCTGGACCTCTGCACGGGTATGTGACTGTAGAAGAAAAATTGTATGTCGCTGAGCTTCATAAAAGGTTCTTTGACTCTTCCTCATTGCCTATCACTTCTCCTTCTGCACAACTTAGTATTTTTCAAAACATTTTTAGGTGTCAAAATACGTGCTTGATCTTTCCAGCTTAATTTTACAAAAACTTCTGTCTTGCCTAGTTCAGAAGCTTAGTAGAGCGCAGGATGGAGCTTTTTTGAGTTAAAAATACTGCCACATGCTTTATATTTGCCACTTGCCAGTGATAACTGTTTTTTTTGGCTACATAATGCAATGTTTTTTCTTAGTGGGAGAAATGCAGTTCTTTATGCTATTCATTCTGGTAAACACTGTATTTTATTTATAAAATCGTATTTATTTGTGAAAATAGACAACCATAACTGATGATGAGGCGCTTACTAAGGCAGACTAGACTTTGTGACTGTTGCTATTCTATCTGGTGGTCTTCACGACTGAGTTAAGGTGCTAACTTAGCAATATAGTCATTTTGCTGCAAGGGTTTGTGCACAGTATCAATGCTAGACAAATCATGCAATGATCAAAGAACGAGCTCATCTTTGCAACTCTGAATGCTCGACAGTTCCTGTCATCTTCTTTTTCATCCAATACACAGATATAAATACATCCCTAACTGATAGAATGCTGCTGAGGATATAAATTGCCATGAACACAATGAAAATAACCATTTATGTAGTGAAATTATTGTGAAAGTTGCCCATCTGCAATGTCTACCACATGCTTCATTCTGCACTTGCAGGTGCAGCAGCTTCCTGGATCCTCTCTGTTTTATCCACTTATTTCTGTGAAGGACATTTGCAAGTGATTTGGGGGAATTAGCTATTTTTAGGTGAAGAAAGAATTGGAAGGAATAAATATTTTAATGAACAGGACCTGCAAGCCTGAAAACAGCTTACAGATATTTTGCTTTTTTTATTTTTCACAAAAAACAAGAGCAGCAGCAGCAACAAAATCACAAGATTATGTTCAAGCAAGACAAGAATATCAATAATAATGCCTTGTCACATATAACCATGCCATTCCAGACTCTGTGTAGACCAAAACCAGCATCTAAATCCCAGCATAGCAATAGTGTGTTACTGTTCCCATATGCAACTTTTATGACTGCAGACTTACGTATTTTTTTTTTATCAGAGCATTTATTCAACTTTCTGTTTTCATGTACCTTAGGGAAAGGTGGCTGCTTAGGAATGAAATTTTTCAAAAATAGAGGAAAGAAAAAAGGGGAGAAAAAGAGCCTCATTGAGTAAGTGGTAGTCCATCTTTTTAGAGTATCTTTCATCTACTGATGTTGTCCAGTGCTCTGAAATGGTTTGAAAGTTCAAGCACTCCCATCTGAACACTTCTGGCTTTTCAATTTGATGCTCACAAAAAATATCATAGTCAGGATCTTGTTACCTCCACAACTGTGTTAGTATCACTGTTGAAGGTGGTGTAAATTGAACTGACATGATAAAAAATAAAAGTATCTTTTTTGTCTTTCTGTGTTGTTTTTAACCTGCTTCATTTTAGTGATCTTAGTCTATTATATGATCCCAAAACAGGTGAGACAGCATGACAGAATTAGTGGTAAGGGAGCGGGAGAAGAAAAGACAAATGACTGGTGGGGCAGGCAATCCTTAAACCATACATACAGAGGCAAAAAAAGTACATGGGAGAGCACCTTTGGACAGGTGAATTAATATCATTAAAGCAAGTTTGACAGTCTCCTTCTTAAGTCAGAATAGTGTTGCTCTGTGTATCTGTAATATACAAGACATGCAAATACGTGGAGTGCTCAGCAAGAGAAAGTCAATGTTAGCACGGTTTTCTCACTGAAACTTCTCTTCCTGTCTCCTCCCCACTCTCGTGGGGCTTTTGCCTCCTAGTGGCACACTAGAGGCAGCAGCAGAAATGACATATGTGTCTCCACTGATAATCTCTTTGTACACACTTGTACTGAGAGAGTTACAGGCTACCTGGTTTCATACTGCTCCTGGGGGTTATGTGTATGTCCTTGTATGTGAACCATGTCGGAGGGCAAGGTAAAGAGTAGCAGTCCTGCTTAGCAATGCTGTGCCACACCCCAGTGTCAGGAGCTCTGGGTAAAAGTGCCACCCTGCCGCGGCAGCGATCCTGTTACAGCATGACTTTGGAAAGTACCTGATTTTCACTAAAAACTTGATATTCCTGAACACTGGCAGGAGCTTCTGCCTGCAGTTGCTACAGCACAGTATGAGAATGAATGTTTCTTGTAGCATCAGTCTATGTTATCTTTGTGCCTGCAGACAGGGTTAGGCTTCCTGAAAAATGTGCTGTTGCATTTCCATCGGGTTCCATTTGAAGGTGGTTTTAGTGTTTCTGACAGAAGTTTGATGTGATCATGACCAAATTAGCAGTGTTGTCTCATGTCTACATGCAGCCATGCTTATGGGAACAACTGGGCTTTCCAGATACTGTTTGTGGACAGCTGACACACAGGATTCCCTGAAAGATCCTCAAGTCAACGCTATGGGTCCTTTAAATTGTCATAATTCAATTCATATATTCTTATAACCATTGCCTATTACTACTACATTTATATTTGTCTGAATAAGAAGTGCAGAAATCTGTTGCCACTATTCATGTTTTTCTATACTATGAATAGGTAGAATTGACAAATTCAAGAAAGAAGTCAAACAATGCTGGCAGAGTCTCTTTATCCCGACTATGCTTTGTGAAGGACATATTTCTGTAATGAAGGAAAGCTCAGCAAACGCCAGAGCGTCACACTCAGGTGCATGTTAAGCTCCTGGTTTTCTGTTTGGGTGTACGCACTGTAATAAATCACTCCTTCCAGAGCATAGTCCTTCCCATGGACATCTAAAGCTGATGCAAAGCACCTGCCATACAAAGCAATCTCACCCACAAAACCCCAAAAGTCTTTCTTTTTTGTGACTTGACCTTAGAAGAATGTTGTTGGCTCAAATCTTAAGCTACTCTTCTTTGAATAGAAGCTTGTATTGAGGTATTGACTGTCATGTTCCACCAAATTACTCATCTTCACCACCCTGCACTCCCCCTGCTATGCCCTGCCCCAGGCTTGTCCCTCAGTGCCCACTGTCGTATTGCAGGCTGTTCCCTGCCCCTTTTGCTGCAAAGCTCACTCAGGCAGGGGGCTAAGATTAAGCAGCTTTTGGGTTAAGCTTTTTTGCCCTGCAAGCTGTGCTTTTTTTTGCTGATGTCAGTGCTCCTGTGTTCTGCCTGCCTGGGTTCAGCA